CACATTCATCTTTAAACAGACCAGCAAAAGCAAAACAAACTCACTAAGTTTCCATTAGAAGAAAGACCAGGTTAATTAGAGGCTTGTGGGGGATTTGTGCATACATTTTGTTCAAAAAAATGTGCAACAAAGCGGAAGAAGCGAGATCATCAGAATTGGGATCTGTGCGACTATTTTAATCCTGTAACCACAAATTGTGGGTGCAGATTCCTTTTTGCTATCAATAAAGCAAAAAGTTTAAGAGCCACGTCGCTCTAAGGAAAAAAGTTATGGGGGACGGAGTCCCCCCGCCCCCGACTAAAACCTCCTCTGCTTAAATATCTGCCAGTCTGAAGTTATTGGTTCCAATTTTCTGCAGAGATCTCATCACTTGTAAACAATTATAGCGGCAAATTCAGTTCGAACCGCTTCTTTCCTACCCTCCTCTCTCTAAAAATTTCAAAATTAATTTTAAATGGCCACAAACATTCATTTTGTCACCAGTTTTTGTGGGACTTCGGCGGGGAGGCGATTTCTGTGGAAGAAAGCGTTCTTATCTCTGTGCGGAAAGCATTTAAAGGTGTGTAAGGGTAACCGAAGAAAAAGCTTGTCCCTTGTGTAAATTCCCTATCTCTATCGGAATGATCAAACAAGTAGGTCGAAAGTTTTTAACCCAATGGTGAGCAAAGCTTTTTGATCCACTTTTCCCCTGTCCATAGTTGAAGGCTCCTCAGCCGCCTGACAAAATACCTACTCAAAAATAACAAGTTTACTTGTTCAATTTATTTATAGATTTATTTCTAATTATTTATTTTGTTTAGACAAGTACTTTAAGCGGTCATTTCGGCCTTCATCTCTTGGTAATCTAGCTTCAAATTGACCTTTAAGTTTGGAGGGTGGTTGGTAAGAAGAAAACGGGATCAAAACGAAGTGTGTTGAGGCTTTCAAAGAAATGAAATAAGCCAATTTTCGAGTTGATTGACAGTAAATTGAGAGGTAGAATACTTAATGAAGAGGTGGATAAGTCATCGACAATGCCTTAGCGCCTCACAACAGAGAGGCGGTAGTCATGAAGTCGAAAAATCACCGGAAAAAAGGGCGGGTGATTCTATAGCTTGTACAAAAATATGCCACATATACCATAAAAATCCAAATATTTCAGAGAGTTACTTTTTGGGAAAGAAAACAAGCAGATATCGAAGGCAGACAAAGTCAACCATTCGTTCAGGTCTTTTTCTGCCATCAAGAACTCCTTGATTTGTGCAGAATAGACTGGATTTGGAGATAATATAAAGAAAAAGGTCTTTCCATGACCTATTGACCCGCTATTTGGAAATGCTAGAAAATGGACGGTCACCCTACCTCCGCTTGATAAAACCTCCTTTTGATGGTTGGTTATGGTGAGAGATGAATCCCTTAAACGCACTTCTTTAGCTCAACCCATAGAACATCGCCGCTTTTTCATCAGAAGGCATCACTCTTTGGTCAGCATGGGAAAAATTTTCCTTTATCATCTTTCAGTGGATACTGTTATTCAAGGAGGTAAGAGGCTTTAAATCTTTTTTTTTTCTTATAAAAAGTGCCTCTACGCCATCCTCTTAACCAGGAATGTCGGATGCTGTATGGCGAATACTTAGTCAAATCATAAATAAAAGGACTAAAGCTTTGTAAAATAAATTTTTTTACGGAAATCTACGCGAAAATTCCTTCTTTTAACTTTTCTTTCCTTTTTTATTAATGCAAATAACTTTCTTAGAAGTGGGAAAAATTGGTTTAACCTAACTTTTGTGGAAAAAAAAATCCGGTAAGACCCCAAAAGCCAAACTAAAATCTTGTTGCTTTAAGGCGGTAGTAAATTTGTTTATAACTACACACCATATTGGTGGGGAAAGCAACTTATTCACCAACTGTTACATAAAAAACGTGTTTGCAAAAGCTGGCCATGCCTCTAGGCACTTCTGTAAACAGTCAGTTGGAGAAATAAAAAAAAGAAGGTGTCCGAGACAAACACAAAGGAGTAGCACTAAACTCAACAGAGTGGGGCGCTTTAACTTGTCAGGTGACCTTCCAGACTGAGTAAAATTTCCGAACTGCTACTTCTTCCTAAGGAGTAAAAAAAAAACCAAGAAATTGTCTTATTAATATAGATGTTCCAATCATCCGGAAAAGCCCTCACTAGTAACTGGCAGGTCAATTTGGATGACTGTAGCTGAAAAGGAGTTGTCTGAAGTTCACCACCACGCCTTCCGGGATAAACACAGAAGTAGGTACTTCTGGAAAAAAATCTACACCTGGTAAATGGCCTAATCACGTGTATGGTTGGGGGGAATTTTGTCCAGAACACGAATTTGATTGGTCCCTTGATGGATTGCCTTTCAGTGCCACCTTTCAAAAAGAGCGGTCGTTTTTGGTACCACGACTCTCCGATTTGGGAGGCGGGGGGTGTTGTGGACAGCAAAGAGAAGCAGTCAGTCAAAAAAGCAAAACATCACCTTTTTACGTCAAAGACAAAAGATGTTACCAATATTTTAACTTTGAATTTCTTGATTAAATAATCATTTAGAGTGACCTAAGTCAATTCGTAGCCGTAAATTTTTTCCGCAGATGTCGATTTGAATGGAGAACAGTGGGTGATCGAAAATAAAGTGCTTTTAAGCAGATCCTATTTGTCAAATCGTCAATCAGACAATTCCAGTCATGAGGGCAACATTTTACCAGGCGCTGGGAGCAAAAGAAATGAACCTCCAAATATTCATGAAGAACTGCTAAATTTACCTTATATAAAAGTGACAAGCAGTTGTTATGATGGCAGGTACACATTTGAATCGTGAAGCTCCAAAATTATGGAAATCGAGATTTATACCAACAATATGAGAGGGACATTTAAAAGGTTGGAAGTGCACTTATGAACATAAGATTTGGTATGCAAGAAAAAGGGAAGAAAGAGAGACATTTACTGATCGCATGAGGTCAATGTCGTCCAAGCGCCTATCAATATCTGTCACTTTGTCACCCACTTGACATTGTCGGAGAACCCACTTCCCATCTGCCTCGTCCTTTTCCAAACTAATCACCGTCTTTACCTTCCTTCCATCAGGAGTGGTCTCCAGAAAAGGCTCCTGCAGTCGAAATTGCACCTCAGTACTACGAAAAGCGTTTATGGTCTTGAGGCAGTAAGTTTTCGGTTCAGCTCCCTCCTTCACTTCGGACAGCTTAATCACTGGCTTAGCGGCGTTGCCTGCCTTGCGGGTGAGGAAGTCGACACCGAGTCGAGTCATCACACGATCGAAACCCTCACTCGAGGTCATTTTCCAGGTGCCCAGAAAGTCATCCATCTCAAATTGGAGTAAAAATCGGCACAAGGGGGTGGATTTGCATTTATGCAAATGCACATAGGCTTCCCATTGGACACAGACCGGGCTGCACTCTGATTGGCTCAGTTGTGTGATTGGTCAGGGTCATGACTTAGAGAACTCAGCTGATGCCGTTCTCTAACTCCAGCCTAATTTTAACACTCATGTGCACGAAAAAAATTGAAGAATTTTCTAATAGGTTTTACGCTATTAATCATTTGGTAAGTTGGGTCAGGTTACATAAAACATCCGCAGCTGAGGTTATTCAAGTATTTTCTTTTTGGAGACCCATAAGTCATTACCTCCTTATTCAGTGGAAAGCATGACACCCTTTAAGAATGTGGTTGTACAGCCATAAAATAGAAAAATCAAATTTATTTTCCTCTTACTTAGTATAGAGTTCTGCCAAGTTTTGATCAGCGTAAAAAGAAGTCGCCAAAACCTATTTAGCCTAAGGGAGGCCATTGTTCGAGATGAACTGCAGTATGCTTTTTTATTTTAGGTCTAAAAATAAATAAAGACAGATTTTGTCATCAACTTGTCATATTTTATTGTGTTTTTTCCAGCGTCTGGCCAGCTGACTTCAAATGAGCCATGACAAGTGTTTCTCAGTATAATCTGCTGCCGGAGGCGCCGAATCCTCCAAAATCGCTTCTCTCTCCGAATGACACATTAAAGAGGAAGAAATTCCTCCTTTGAGTGTGAAGTTTAAAGGTTCCAACAGTAAACCGCAGCGTGATTTACTCTCTAAATAGGCATAATTTTATTCCCCTTTGCTTTAGCGTTTCTTAGCCATCAAGTGCCAAGTTGGTACAAAATGGGGAGCTTCAATGCAGAAACTGACCTTTAGTGGTGCATCACTCATTCATGCAAGTTCAATTCAATCACTTGGTTTTCTATCACATATGAGTCTACTTAAGTTGGTTTAACACTTTGCCCACCAATCAAATTATATCTGCCACGACTTTTTCAAGCTCTTACAAAAAAAGAGATGGTTGAGGATGTTTTGTACACGAAACGTCTTTGTTTTAAAAATAATTTACTCCCAGAAGCTATTTACGTATCACTTGATTGAAGGCAAGCTGGAATGGATGTGGAAATCACTCCACCCTAGTCAGCGTGTAGACCTTGACAGTGCCTATCATCTTAGCAGGCTGTCAAAGTCCCTCCCCACATAACCAAAAGACAAACCAAAGATTCCTTGAAACCTGTTGATGAGTGAAGTCAGGTTAGGCGTCCAAGATCTAATGAAGGTACGTTCTGAATATTGGGGAATTAGTATTCTCAGAAAAGGCGTTTTGCCGTGATTTTTGGACATAAAAAGAACAAAATAACATTGTGCCTCTTTTGTGTAAGTCAGCAAGAATTGTGTAAGCTAGAATTTTCTAGCTCATCTTATTACTTTGGACTTTGATAGATCCAGCTTTTGTAGTAAATTGTCCATTTGCTACTGCTTCATCAGATTAGAGGCACAAATTCTACCTAAAGGTTTTCTTCAAAAAAATAAGGAAAACAACCAAGTAGATCCTTGTTGAAGATCATCTGCATGTCCATAGGGGTGTATCTTCCAACCGCAAGGGTTTCATTCCACCATACCTGCCCGGACGTCTAAGAGGACAGACTACTTGACTCCCCGAATTCCCCTTAGACGAATTATGCGAGGCTGTTCGTCGCAGGTGTGACGTGCTGCCAAAGTTGTCACGCCTGACCTCGTGGTCGAGTAAGGTGCTAGAAACGATGGAATGGGGAAATGTGCGTGGATGTATTTGGGAAGGAAATTTTGTCTGTGTAGGTGGGAACACTTTTGGGCTCTTCTTTTGAAAGGAACCACCTATTGCGCTACGACGTGACACCACTTCATTATTTATTTAAACAACTTTTTAAAAAAAGTTGTAGAATAATTTGATCTCCCCTGAAATTTCACATGAACCAGGGTCAAGATGTGAGAATAAGCTCGTGGTTTGTTTGGTGTGAAGGCACTTTGACAACAACAATCATATTTTCAAGGGTGTGTAGTGATTTCATGGGGTGTTTTATCGCCTGTGTTTGACCACACGGACCCTTGGGTCTCCGTGAGAGGAGGTTCCGCCTACCTGTGTGGCATGGCTCTGCTCCAGGTCGTGTCAATGCACCAGCGTCCCCGCTCTTCGTTAAGGTGGAGAAGACTCGAGGCGCTCGGTACTTTCTCACCGCATAATTCCTGAGCTGATGGAATTCACTTGCCTTAAAGTTAACGTTAGTTCTAAGAAGTTCATCATTTTTTAGGATAAGTTTCTCACAAGTTGAAACATTGTTCAACTAGTTTTTGTGCTTCCTCTTAACTTTACCCCCTTCAACTCTCACCACTGCACAACGAAAAACACATTTTCTTGTTACACTGCATGCCTGTGGGTTTTCCTATCCCGCAAAATCCTCTCATCACCGGCGCGGAAATTGCCTCTTTGAAGTGGCTCAACCAACACTTTAATCCACGAGATGTTGAAAGCAGTTAGGAGGACTGATGTAAAAGCTGTCAGCAATTCGCTTACCACAAAATGTTAGGCCTACAACTCGGTGTTCGGTTTGGCAATATTTCGTACATTCTTAACCATATTCGCCACCCTAAAGGCTATGAAAACTGGCAGAAAGTGTAGAGGCGAAAGAAGAAAAGAAGGACTTATTAGACCGATCCTAAGTTGAATGACCTAAACAGAAACCACTCACACTTTCAGTACTAAAGGTGAAAGTTGAAATTGATTGGATTTTGGGATAAAAAGCCCACAAAACTGAAAGAATGTGATATGAGTTACGGGACCTTTGAAAGCGTTCCTGGTAGTAGGTACGGCACAGCAAGCATTACATTATTCTAATAATAAAGTGATAAAAAAGGTCCTTTCTTGTGGATAACTGCCCAAGGCATCTGTTGAAATGGCGCAGCAAGACACTCTGCATAATGAAATGGTGCTACCTAACAGAAGGGGAATTACTCAAAGTAGGATTATCTGCGTCGGAACCTTACAAGTGAATTCCTCTTACTGCAGACTCTGAAAGGGTGATTCAATCTGGATACGAGCCGATGTAACCACCTGTCATAAACTGATCACGGTCGCATGTCACTCTTCTACCATTCTAACACCAAAGCACGCTTGTCACTGGGTAGACCATTTGATTCAGCAATAGCAACTTGGTCTCAATACCTCAGGTACGCAAGGATGCCAGAGCGCGGACCCAAACAGAAGGCGAAACAATTGGGCAACCGTGTTAATCCAACCTCTCCAGTACGTGGAGGTGTGGATGCGGTTGGTCAGGTGACAAGCCGGTAGGGGAATACAGGTGAAACGAGTGCCAGGCAGCTAGCGCCCCATGCGCCGTGTGTTGATGGCTATCTTGGAGGGCGCTCGTATAAAGGCATGGATGAATAATATGCGGGTTTGTCGGCCACTTGTACACACTCATGGCTGTAATTTAACCGTCTAGCCATGTGTGGGTTAATCAGTAGGCCAGGTTATCTCAACCAAGAACACTGTCAACCCCGCCGGTGGTCGACTCTGTCGTATTTGACCCAAACAAATGATACCGTGGGATGGGAAGGGGAGCATGATAGGGCAGCAGTAAGTCAAACAAGAGTACCTATAATAAAAAGGGGGCGAGAAGAGCAGGCAACAACACAAAAGAAAGTCAAGCACAGACGTTTGCCAGAACCTGGAGAAAATTCCTCATGGATGCGAAGTTAGTGTCATCGAATCAGATTTTTTATCTTCAGGCCATAATCCCTACTTATTTCTACGGCTTTGATGTCGACGTTGTGAGGCTTATTTTTGCCATCTTATCAAGCACTTTACGTTCTCTATTCATCAAAAAAGATTAAGCGGACTTCAAACGAGAAGAGGGCTCAAAAACCAAGTTTTGGTTTATATTTTGGAGATAAACAAGACAAGTACCTTGCCCAGAAGCTCACTACCAATTTCCCCAACATGAACGTGAAAATTCCTATATTTTATCCCAAATTCCTTGCATGAAATTCTTCTTAAATTCTCCATACCTCCTCCAATTTCACCTCTCGCTAAGACTGCCACAAGTTTGTAAGTTGGCTGATGGTTTATGTCAGTACCTTAAAGGGGCGACTAGTGTTGATTGCTGGTTTTTGGTCTTTCTGCATAAAAGGCACCTTCGTCATGGAGGCTTGCAAAAAGTGAGCTGTTGACAACTGGAGATGAACGAATGGGAGGGATGAAGATAAAGAAGTGAGTGGTGAAGTCATACAGGTGTTGGCTTCCAAGTAATTGCCTTTGGATAGATGCCGCCAAGTCTAGTCTGCTAGATCCACCCAATTACATTTCCCTGCGTTTTTGTATTCAGGTCTTGAAACTTCAAGATGATCTTCCACTCCAATTTGTGTATGCGAAATTAATGTAGAAAATGACAAAAAAGTTGTATGTTTGGCTTTTAAAGTCAACGTTGTGAAAATGGCGACTTAGAAACAAGTCATCGTAGTCTGGAACGCTGTTGAAAGGGTTTGACAGCTGGAGATAATTCTTAATGAAATGTGCAAACCCTTTCCAAGGTTCACTTATGTCAGATAGTCTGCCTTGAGGAGCCAAAAAACAACTCCAGCCGCCTCCTATTGCATGTAGCAGTTACTTTGCGACCGCCTAGCCCACTTTTAATGTCCGAAATAGGTGATAATCTTCTCACAGAGAGACCTGACGGCAATAGAGAGAGTGGGAAGGAGACAGTAGTGCTTTTATTCCTTCATACAAGAGTCATCTTAAGGGGCGAATTGTTTAAGGGTGACCAATGAGGTATTTGTTCGCCCAACGAACTTCGCTACTTCTCGTCACAAGGTGGTTCGCCAGTCACCATATCCTCCAAAAAGGCGCAAAATGAATTAATCCCTCTTGATTCTTGTCATTTGGATGGGATCCCCATCCAGATGTTCCTAAACTATGACCCATCCAAATTCGATTGATGCATTCATCATCACCACAACCAGGTAGTATGAA